TTTTTATTATACCAATACATAGGCGTAGTAAGTCAATTGTTATTCCTCCAAAAAAAGTATCCGAATACTTGTATCCGAGTACATTTTTAGGTGAAAGTATCCGTAATTTTTTAAAAAGTATCCGGATACATTGAAAGTATCCGTATCCGGTATTCGGATCCTTTTTTCCTGTATCCTACCCAGCTAAGTTTGCTTAGCTTTGGGAGTCGTATATTTTTGTTTATTATGGAACATAACTCTCTTGTGTGGAGTGTTTCAATATCCTTGTAGAGCTGAATGGTGGAATAAAAGTTTATTTTTTTAAATATTATTTTAAGTAGGGAATTTTGTGTTGATTGAAGTTCACCCAATGCATTATCGTACAGACCTGTTGTTATACAATATCTAATAACTGATCCGACCAGGGAGTTGTATAATATTAAAAGATTACACAAATGATTGTGTTTCCGTTTCTTCTCTTCGAGAATACATTTCTCCAAAACGTATAAAATAGCTGTAACATTCAAAACGTGAAGCAGCACATATTTCATCACTTTCAGGGATTTGAGAGGATTTTGGTAGGTTCACGCCGCCTTTGTACATTTAAAAACGTGACTGATTTCTGAAGATTTACAATTCAGAGACGATATTCATGTTTTTTAATCAAACTGTTGTTATACCTCCATTTTTATAAACAGTAATAAGTATCTCGACCCTACAACTTCGAGTTTCTTGCTGAAGAAATATTGCCTTTCGAAAAGTGATAAATTTTACCTGTATGGCAAATAATCCCATTGTTACGAGTCCAATCCAACTGTGCATCGAGTAGAAGTTGGGTATCGCATTAGGTTGTTTCAAATTGTGTGAATCTAGGACAGCCAAGAACCCAATAGCAACGCATGGAATCGCCAGGGCGTGGAACACCGTGTGGAGGAGCTTGACATAAATTCTTCGACAGCATCTGCATATTCTGTATAGTAATATTGCTGAAACAGAATAAATCGAATCAATACTTATTTGGAAAATCATTAGAAAATTATTTGGTGAAAACATTTACAGAATAGAAATAATTCTGGATTGGTTTTATTCAATAGTANTGTCGGAGCTTCGGGGGATAGGGCCTGACCAGCGCATACTTCGATAATAATAATAGCTTCATTGTCCAACAATTACCCATTTACAGGACAATATAACTGAAAACTGAAGCTAAAATAAGTTTTATAAAAACTAGTGGGGTTTGCTAATGAGTACAATATTAATACGTTTACGGTTTGTATAACTCAACTTCTTGGCGTATTTTTACTATAACAATGAATATTCAACTAGTCAGATCACTGTTTCAATCCAGATGATGAGATAATAAATAAGCAAAAATCCGAATTAAATTTCAGATGATAAATGAACTAACAGTTTGCTATCATGCACGATTTTTGATTTTATAAAATATTAGCTGGTGCACAAATTTTCATGTATTTGTCTATTTTCGAGTTATGAGAAAATTGGTAGTTTTTTCGAAAGATGAATTTACGACAAGAAATCACAATAATGAGCAATGATAAGCAATTTTATCAAATTTGTTGCATCATTCACTGATGTATATTCATCATTATATCATTCATCATTGTTTATTTATATGCATCTAAAATTAGTTTGTGATTCTTGTAAATATTGAATGTTTATTTCGATGACTTGAATATTGTAAATAAGAAGTTCTATCCAAAACTTCAAACAGTAAGTTAGTATGTTCTGGGATTTTCATAAATCCGAGGAGAAATGTATGAAAATTATGATAGAACTGACTGATACTTGAACACACACTAGAATTGATACTATTGTATGTCGAAACACGTGTCGCGGTTTTTCTAGGTGATATTACCCTAACAACTTCCAGTAATACGAATTCAGAGAACACTTTAATGTGAGATTTTCACTAAACAATTTTTCAAAAACGCAACACGAGTTTCGCCATACAATGGCTTCTTCAGGCGTGTCTTTACTGTCTAAATTCTACAAATGCAATGCTTTAGTTCCTGATTAAAAGTACGTACATTTCAACAACCTGAGTTGAATTATATTACCTGAGCTTATGTCCCAGTTTCCGTTTTTAAAGAAATTATGCATAAACGTAGCTCATAGAACGAATAATAGCCCAATGGAATTTATTAAAAACAATTAAGACAAAACTTCGGTGTCGGATAGATCAGGAGTATATAGGTTGACTTGTGGCTCTTGCCCAAAACTGTATATTGGCCAAACAGGGAGAACATTTTTCCAAATAATTAAAGAGAATAGAAGTAGTTTTGTAAATAGAACGGCTACATTTGCAAACCACATTCAAGCAAAAGGACATGAGTTCAGTCATGAACACGACGTGTTACATTTCGAAGAGAAAAGTTTGAAACTTATTTTTTCAGAATGTTTAGAATCAATATATTCAAGTAATTTGGTAATTTACTGGTCAATTAGAATTGAATAACTCTCCCATCCCAATTATTTTTTTTTTAAAGGAAACTGAGGTGAAACCCAGGTACTTGAAATGCAGGTTCTTTAAATTGTGTATGTTGCATGTTGCATTTTTGGAAAACTGTTTAGTGACAATCTTCATCATATTTCCAGTAAAACATTGCTGGAACAATATCATTTTGGGCATGAATGATAAGATTTTTTGGTGCATATAAGAAATCAACTCAAAGTAAATGAAAACAAAACAGTCCATTTAGGTTTTTCGATGAGAAAGATATTGAAACTTATAACATCCTACACTCCGATACAGGTAGATTTCTAGAACGCCTCATATTTTTGATTTACTGCGGAACCACTTCTTATCATTTTTTTCATTCTGTTCAGTAAATCAGTTCAACCTTTACTTGTTTGCGGCCGATAAATCGAATATTACGGTAACTGATACCGTAAAGTGTTGGCTAGCTCCACTAAAATCAGCCATTTTGCCATATTGACGAAAACTAAGATTATAATATTAATTAAACAACAATTATTAAAAGGAACCGCCATAATTCCTCATCGTCTTTAATCCGTGTTAAGAATCACACGTTAAAGGGTAAAACCTCGTTAATCCTTAGCTCGCACAAGTTTCGACTTCTGAGGGTTGTCGTTAGCTGGTTACCGGAAGAACAGGTTTTGAACAGATTTTTTTAAATATTTATTAAGGAAAAACATCCACGGCTATACTACTATGTACAAAAAATGATGTGAATCTTAGTTTTTCTCAAAAAATATTCGTTTATTCATCAATTTTCATTTAGTCCCCTTCAAAGTAGTCTCTCTCAGAACTAATACACTTGTGTCAGCGTTTTTCCAATCCTCCTCCTCAAAGTCCTTGAGCTATTTCTGCGATTCGGTTTTTCATCTCTTCAATCATCGCCAAACGCCTAACTTTCATGGGTTTCTTCAATCTTGGGAACAGGAAAAAGTCGCAGGGGGCCAAATCGGTGAATACGGTGGCTGAGGCATGATTACGGTGTTGTTTGTAGTCAAAAAATTACGAACAAGCAATGACGAGTGATCAGGTGCATTATCGTGATAAGCAATGAATTGTTTTTCCACAATACCGGATGTTTTCTTCGTATTGCTTGTCGAAAGCGGCACATAACTTCAAGATAATACTCTTTATTGACCGTACGACCAAGAACTTCTGACACACTACCGAAGGTAATCGAAAATGGCGTGCTACGGCAGATTCTGAATATTAGGTAGGTACTTGCCTACAGTTTACGCCAATTTTAGTTTTTGATTTTTCGGCTGCGGGCTTCCTCGATTCTCCACGTCAATTAAAGAATTTTGAATAATTTTTACTCTAACTTCGGGGCGGAATATTAGGAAAGAGTGTCACCTTTCCATAAAAAATCAACAAGCCCTTGCAGTTTTCGTTTGGTCACTCTGTATATGTATTATTATTGAAATTTGTATTTTGATAGCTTCAATAGATTATATTCCTTCAAACGCCAGGCCTACTAGGATTTTTTTACATCACTCCTTTGTCCACTGAATAATCAGTTATCTTCATGACTTCCTGTTCCTGGTAATCTAACTTTATTCCCTTCTTCAGTTCGAACGACCACTTTTATTTTGTTCGACAGTGTTACGACAAAAAATCTGTCGTGTTTAATCCTCAACTCAAATTGTATAGTAATATCACGTGTTATTTCAAAATACTTCTGTCAGCTGAGAAATATCCAAGACTTCTGTATCATATAAACACAATGTTACATTTCTGAGTTGCTAGTTGTCCGGCATTCCACCTTTGTAACCCATTTCCTTTATTTATTTTTGTACTATTTTCATCCGCTTTACTCGAAATCGAAAGGGTGAAGACATATTTACGATTAGACCAAATGGATAGAATTCACAGAATTATGGATATCAATACATTTGAAAAGTTTAATACTGATTATTTATTATTTTCATCACATAAACTCTGGCCAAAGCTTCCTAATCGATCTGAGGGTAGTTTTTTTTTCGAATAATGCCCGGGAACTATAAGTAACCGGATTTTCAATTTTTTATCAACTCTCCCGGAGCATAATTATTTGCGTCAGCCATGATTATCAATTGGAAGTCAGGATCATGAAAAGTAAAAATTATAGTGCACATATTAGTCTCCTAATTCTTTTATAAGAATCATCACATCCTTGGACCTATTTCCGTTGGAACTTATACTTTTGTTAGGCCGAACAGTGAATGCGAAAAAGTGAAAAAGTAGTAGTTAATCATCAATGGCCACGGAGCAACTGGTTAGGTTAGGTCCAAAGTGAGTGGGTCTATTCGACCCTCCACCGCTACCCGCAAGGGTTTATTGTGGCTCACACCAATTCACATAAACCCAGCTTCTAAACGAACTCGATTCGTTCGTATGGTGAGTGGTTTTTCAGGTCAGATGGTAAGAGAACGGCTCTGCCGAACTCTGAAAACCTGATTCGGTCCCCAGCGGGGCAGGCACAAAGTATATGCTCTGTTAATGAGGTAGTCGGATAGTTAAATTGCAAGATTCTCACCTTGATACCCATGACAACCTTCATATATGAGGGTTTTTGCACTTCAGCTACAATTGACGATGCCTTAGATTCAGCCGTGCAGGGCTTTTTCGCCTTTGGTGACTCATCACTTAAGCGCAAACGTTTGCTAACCTGCTCATGGGGGATTTGTTCCCCTACGTGAGACAGATTCTGCGTACGCCGCTCAAGAATTTGGTGCAAGGCGGTTTTATAAGGTACCCCGCTCTTGCACCACCGGCTGCACCACCAAACCTTTTTTTTAAGGTTCAGTTTTTGGATCAGGAGTTGGGGAGTTGAGAAGCTCTCGCTCCTGAACTGAATTTACAGGGAGGCCCGTTGGGGTCATAAACTCGACATCCATCCATCCATCCATTCATCTCCTCTGTAGACTCGCAACTGAATTTAATTTATAGGGAGGTCAGTTGGAGTCGTAAGCTCGACATCCATTTCCTCTGTAAACTCGCTTCTGAATTAAATTTACAGGGAGGTCAGTTGATGTCGTAAACTCGACATCCATCTTCTCTGTAGACTCGCTCCTGAACTAAATTTACAGGGAGGTCCGTTGGAGTCGTAAACTCGACAACATCTCCTCTGTAGACTCGCCCCTGAATTGAATTTACAGGGAGGTCAGTTGGTGTCGTAAACTAGACATCCATCTCCTCTGTAGACTCGCAACTGAATTGAATTTATAGGGAGGTCAGTTGGAGTCGTAAGCTCGACATCCATTTCCTCTGTAAACTCGCTTCTGAATTAAATTTACAGGGAGGTCAGTTGGTGTCGTAAACTCGACATCCATCTTCTCTGTAGACTCGCTCCTGAACTAAATTTACAGGGAGGTTCGTTGGAGTCGTAAACTCGACAACATCTCCTCTGTAGAGTCGCCCCTGAATTGAATTTACAGGGAGGTCAGTTGGTGTCGAAAACTCGACATCCATCTTCTCTGTAGACTCGCTCCTGAACTAAATTTACAGGAA